AATAGCTTTGGAATGGCAGGTCGTTGTAGTCTTTGCTTCTCTGTCATGATCTATCTTGGGGTGGGGGTTTGTGTACCAGTGTCTTTGTCTTTGGGTGTATGCGTGATGGCACAGAAATACAGTCACACACCCAAATACATAGCTTTCTAGTAAAGACCAGAGGTATTGCCCAGCAACTGATGCTTGAGGTAGAACTGCAGAGTCTAGTACATTTTCCTTTTTCTTGCTTTGATGATATTTTTATACAATTTTATATGCTGTAAAAAGTTTTAAAAAGTGTTTGCTATTTTTATTTGTAGAGGTCGGGTAGGATTTTATCAGCTCTGGGGCCCACTGTCTAGCCAGATTTCTCCCCTCCCCTAATTTAAGAGCCCTCCCTCTTTTTCATACCCACTCTCTGACCTTTCCCTTCTTTTTTCTCATTTTTGCAAATTTCTTCTTTTGCCTCTGACAAGGCACGCCACTCTCCTTGCAGTGTTGTCTTAGCACATGATGGGAAACACAAAATGATGGGAAAAACAACCGCCTCTTGTTCCTGTGTAATCCACCTGGGGGAATGTTGGGTAGGAGAAGTCAGGGAAGAGGGACCAGAGTGGGAAAGGGAAGCAGGAAAAGGGAATCCTATGGGAACTCAGTTTCCCAAAGCCAGGAGTGTCACTTCAGGCCAATGTAATGCTGTTCGCATCTTCCTCTGTGCAGAGCACGGCATTTGCTGTAACAGGGTTTTCTCCTTCGGATGGCGGCCCTCACCCTGGTGTGCACACTGTCCTAAGAGGGTGCTGGCCATATGTGAATGGGTAGATCAGCTCATCTCAGCCTTAGATTTTGCTGTTGTTCAGCTGGATTTGTGGGAACTGCCTGGATGAATGTCAAAATGCTTGTCAAGATTCAAAAGAGGGAGGCAAGCAGAAACCAAACCCCAAACCTCAATTCAGATCGTGCCAAGTGACTAGTTCTTTGGCGGAACCAGGAAGGGATCTCTGGGTGTGTTCTCAGAATGCTCCTCTGCAAAGGAAGATGGCGAAATGGACTGGTCTCTGTTTTATGGCAGCGATAGATTGGGCTTCAACGATGTGAAATATGTTCCAAGCAGATAAAAGGCGGGTTGTGATTCACATTTGTATATCAAAGGGCAAGAGAACGGTCATTTATTCTAAACAAGAATGTTTTGTTCCCTGTGATACTGGCTTGTACGGAAACTATCTCAAATGTCATGGTGTTACATCTCCAAATGCAGAAATGAAACACAGGGACTCATGTAAAACAGTGTGCTAACTGCTCTCGGTAAGCCCCATGACTGTTGCCTTTATTGCACAGAGGAGCTGACGGGTCCTCTATGCACACTCCCCGCTGGCAACCAGCAATGAATACATACCTGTATGTTCTTCTGATACCAAATAAAAACAATGCGTTCACCTCTGGTTTGGAATTCGAAAAATGAAAAGGCTGTTTGTTCTCTTAATGTTTTTCCTGGTTGTCTATGTTCTGTCCCAGATGTGGGGCTGTCTGAACTTACTCAACAATCCATCCCCTTCACATTCCTCCAAATGCCACGTGATGCCCCAAGTACTAGTGCTTTGGCCTGCACACTGGAAGATACACATGGTGTATCGTGCCTTAGATGATCTCTTTTGAGGTGGATGGGTTATTAGGAGCTCCTGGGAGGTGTCAGAAATGCTGGCAGTCATGGAATTAGGTTGGCTTCCGTATGTTCAGTTTTCTTCTGGGTACCATGATATTACGGTTTTATAGTCTTGCGATGCTAGTTTTCAAATTCCAAACATTTTTTTCCTGCTCCTCTTGCGAGGGCTACCTGGCAATATGTTCCTTCTCTCCAGCCATGAACATACAGAGTCTGAGCAGGGAATGGTCCTTACCCCTGTTGTGGGCGGACAAGTGGCACCGGCTATCCTCCTTCAGACCGCCACTACGAGGGGCTCCCCTAGTGGTGATGGAGAGTATTACACAAATACCACCCTCTTCCCCAGGACACCTGGCCTATTGCTCCTGTAGTAATTCCACTGGATTGTTTTTCTGACAAAGGGGGCTGTGGTGTTCATCTATAGCAGCTGTGCTTGCCACATATTAAAAGGTGTGTTTTTAACTTTTTTCTGAAATAAAAAACAGTACTTATTTTGAAACATATCAAGAAGTATGGTAAAATTAAAATCATTGGTAATACCCCATCCAGTGACTATTCCCTGTCAGTTCTTTGCTGTACTTCCTTGTGGTTTTTGCTATACATTTTTACACAGTTGAGGCCATTCAGTACAGTACTTTAATTTTGTATTATGGTTTTTACCCACATAATATTGGGTTGTTAGCATTGTCCCATTAAAAAAACACACCACACCACATACCTCTTTATTAATGTAATTTAAATAGCAACAGAATATTTTGCTTTGTAACCCTAGCACAATTTTACTTACCCACCTCTCTGTTGGACAATTAAGTTACACACTTTTATTTTTGTCAGCTGTAAATAATGTAGCAATGGAGCTCTTTGTACATAAGGCTTTGTCGAATTTCTGAATATCTCCACTGGAAAAATTTCTTAGATAAGTGGTTCTCAACCTTCCTAATGCCATGACCCTTTAATACAGTTCCTCATGTTGTGGTGACCCCCAACCATAAAATTATTTTTGTTGCTACTTCATAACTGTAATTTTGCTATTGTTATGAATCATTATGTAAATATCTGATGTGCTATATGTGTTTTCTGATGGTCGCGACCCACAGGTTGAGAACCGATTCATTCACATGCCCAACTCCAAAGCATATTCAAGTATTAAGACAACCTTACTTAAGCCGTACATAGTGCTGCATGTCTGAATCGCTCTGGTGGTTTTGATCATTGTTCTGTGTGATGAACGCAGGTGAAGTCTCACAGAAGCAAGCATAGTACTGATGGTGGTTGCATCGTGGAGGAAAATGTGACTGAAGACTCTGCATGGGTCGTTCTCATTAATACACTATCGGAGAGCAGCTCTCGGGGAAGCGCAGGCAAGTGGGACGCCCTCACACTCTCAGGCCTCCCGCAGCCCTGAGCAGAAGGTGGACTTCTCTGGATGCTGTTTTGTCAAGACTATGAAAGGGCAAAATGATGATTTGTTCCGAGGCACCAGGCGATGGCTCGGTGATGTCCACCACATCCCTAATGGAACACAGAGAAGAGGCTGGTAGATGCGCTTAGCAATAGCGATGGATCGAAGCTCGTGGATATCCATCGGGCAGCCTTGCCATTGCTAACCGGGAGGGGTGGAGGATGCCTGGTTGACAGGCACTTTTTCTAGTTTAGTCTTTCAGTAGCCGCCGCTGCCTGGGAGATCTGCTCATGTCATAACAACATTGCTATTGTTGGACTATTACTAACAATGACACATGGTCTCAGGGCTCCTACATCATGCTTTCCCAGCAGGCTTGGGCTTGGCGGGCCACCCCACTTGGCAAAAGGGAGATTCTTTGTTTGAGGCCAAGCTGCAAGTCACCGGGGTTTAGTGCTAACCCCACGTCCTGAGTCTCAGGTGTGTGTAGTTGCCCCCAAGCGGTCAGCGGTGCTTGTCACTTCCATCACTGTCCTCTTTTCCAGGACTCCTGATGAGTTACATTTATTGCCCTTTAGCTGAACCAACCAAGGACATTAATTTGAAATATCTGAAAGCTATTCATTTATCAAGAGTTACTGCCAGTCCCACAAGCCTCGGCGATGACATGTCTGCCCTAAGCTGACTGATTGGGTTGTTTACTCTTTGGACGTTAAGATGCTATAGGTCAAGGACGATGTAATTCATGACCTTAAGTCAGTGGTTCTCAACCTTCCTAATGCCATGACCCTTTAATACAGTTCCTCATGTTGTGGTGACCCCCACCCATAAAATTATCTTCGTTGCTATTTCATAACTGTAATTTTGCTACTGTTATGAATCGTAATGTAAATATCTGATATGCAGGATGTATTTTTATTGTTACAAATTGAACATAATTAAAGCATAGTGATTAATCACAAAAACAATATGTAATTATGTGTTTTCCGATGGTCTTAGGTGACCCCTGTGAAAGGGTCGTGCGACCCACAGGTTGAGAACCGCTGCCTTAAGTGCTTTTCTCCCAAAGATGACATACCAGCTACTTTATACACACACACACACACACACACACACACACACACACAAAATGTCCTTTTGCAGAACAATTCAGCCCTCTTTAGTTTTGCTCTCTCTTTCCTGATCCACATACTGGGGGCTGCCTCTCATTCCCACAGAGCCCCTCAACTGTTTGCATGACCGAAGATATTCCCTTCCTGATAGGAACTCCATTGCCAGCTTCAGGATCGGGGGAGACCTGAAGCACCTTAGCATCTGTGTGGTCTCCCACACTCCCTGAGCACTCTCACACACCTTAGCTACCTCAGTCCTCACCAGCACACTTTCAAATCATTGTTATTTCCCTTTTTGCAGATGAAGACCTGAGCTTCCAAGAAACCAAGTTAACATATTTAAGGTCCAATAGGGAGTCAAGGGACAAAGCTGGGCCAAACCCCTGATTCCTTGATCCTAAGTTCAGAACGTCCCTAAGTTCAGGATTCTTTGCCCTGGTGCATATTAGGATCCTCTGGGGGCCTTAGCAGTCCTGATGCTGGAGATCCACCCTGGTCCCAGGAAGCCAGGACCTCTGGGGCTGGTGCTCACGCTGCCGCTTATTCAGCAAGTTTCCCTAGAGAGTTTCAGTGCAGCCCTACTCAGTCGTGTGTTGGTCCCTGACATCCCAAACTGCCAACCAGGAGACTGAGAGCGACCTCACGTGCAGGCGTTGAGGCTGCACTCCTGGCTTTTCTGGACCACGGAATACACACGCTACTTACAACCTCACCTAACCTTCTTCCAAACATTTCCAGACCCAGACTTTTGGACCACCTGAGAACATTTTAGAGGAGCATTTACCTGTCTGAGAAGTCTGTCCACAATCCTACTTTTCCTCATCCTCTTCTTCCTCCTTTGCAGGCACAAAGAAGCGCTCTCATGGCTCCCCAGCCCCGAGCACCAGCTCCACAAGTCGCCTTACCTTGCCAGGTGGGTAAATGGCATCATGCCGTGATCTCAGTGACCACAGGCAGCAGACAGAACCGCTTTCTCAGGGGTTGAGTTTAGCAGTGGCTAAGCCGGGAATCTGGCCCCAAGTTAGCCAGTCTGCTCCACATTATTGGAGGGCCTCTGTCACCCACTTCTGTAAAGTTCCTCCAGGAATGGCCATGATAGCTCCATACTTGGTTCACAGTCTCTCCTGCTTGCTGATGGAAAGAACAGAATGCTGTTCTTCCTTACTTTCATCTGGATGTGTTTTGGAAGCATTTGGGAGACGGTCCAGGGGAATGAGTATGAGCCTTTGGTGAGAGAGACTTGGGTGCAAATCCCAGCGCTCCCATGTTCAAACTGCAAGCTCACTACACTTATGGGCTTCTTGCTTGTAAGTTTAGTATAGCCCTGACTCACAGTGGGTGCTCACAGCTAACCTACCATTGGGAACATGGAAGTCATGCGCGAACCGTGCTGAATCCCATCTAACATTTAGCAGGAAATTGTAAGCATTCGTGATGATTCTGTAGAATCACTATTTAATACGAGAGGCACCTATTGGCCATTCTGTCTCCATGCGTACACAGGCTTACATTCTCTACCACGATTTAATTTTGACAAGTAGAACTTACAAAACACATTTGTTTGGGGGAAGAGATTATAAAAGGCAAGCATAAACATAGTAGAAAAACTAAAAAAAATAATAAAAATTATAAGAAGGGAATTGTTGCCAATGCTACCACTCAGAGGTAACCAAAATGACTGTTCCTTCTTTATTAGATTTTTCCCCCCTGGGCTGGAATTGTACTCCACATGAAATTTGTCTCATCTCTTTTAAAATTTGCCATTACATCATGAGATCCCCCCTGTGTTATTAAATGTTTTAAGAGTATTTTAGTGCTTGACTAACAGTTCATATGATTAACTTATACCATAGTTATATGCAGAGGCTTGACTGTGTGGGAAGTCGGTGCCCCTACCCCAGTGTTGTTCAAAGGTCAACAGTATAATCACTGATAATTTGCCATTAATGTAACTTGTATTTTTGTTATTATAAATAACCTCACATTCTTGTGCATAAATCTTTCCATGAATTGAGGACAGATTCCTATATGTAGAATTATTGGCTCAAAGAATAGGTACATATTTAGGTTCTTAATACATGATAGTCAAAGTGATTTCCCAAAAGGTAGCATTATTTTATACTCTTAGTGATGAGTTTGCCATTTTACTGTGCTCTTGCTCATGTTAACATTAATATTTTACCAATTTGTTGAAGATAATTATATCCATATGTGGTTCGTATTTGTGCACATTCAAAGGGAATTAATTGCCCTAACCAGTTTGGCTCAGTGGATAGAGCATCGGCCTGTGGACTCAAGGGTCCTGGGTTTGATTCTGGTCAAGGGCATGTACCTTGGTTGTGGGCACATCCCCAGTGGGGAGTGTGCAGGAGGCAGCTGATCGATGTTTCTCTCTCATCAATGTTTCTAACTCTCTATTCTGTCGCCAACAATGGCTCCTTTTGGCTTCAGAGGTACTATGTTCCAATAGTTGGTCTTTAAACATATTCTCTCCTCCCTGCTGTCAGGGGCCAGGGTGAAGGTGAATAGGATTGCTAGCTGGCAGGCCCCTGACAGCAAACTGGCCACCTGTCGATTCCATGAGGAATGGGGCTCCCTCCTCTCTCCTGTCATGGTCCGGGGTGCAGGAGAATGGGGTTCCTGGCTGGCAGGCCACTGACAGCAAGCTATCCAACAGCAGATTCTGTGAGGAATGGGGCTCCCTCCTTTCTACTGTCAGGGTCTGGTTTGAAGGTCGGCCATGTCCCCTGTTGGGCCAGACTCTGAGTTCTACCACGCCGAGGCCTCTACCTCAGCAACCCAGGACTGACTGTTGCTGGACGCTCCTGGTGCTCTGAGGGTGGGTTCTTCCCTCAGGCCACATGGGAAACAGCTGGGGAGGGCACAACCCTTGGCAAAACGTCCCAGGATTCAGTGGGTCCACGCTCTGAGCGTGGGTTCCTGCCTCAAACCCCGCCCTCACTGGGAACAGCTCCAGGAAACAGCTCAGGGGAGGGCGCAGCCCTTGGCAAAGTGACCCAGGATTCAGTGGGTCCACCCTCTGAGGGCGGGTTCCTGCCTCAAATCCCACCCTCACCGGAAACAGCTCCTGGGAAACAGCTCGGGGGAGGGCGCAGCCGTTGCCAAGACAACCCCTGCAGGACTGACTTCCTTCGGCTTGGTCACAGCGGTTGTGGTCATGATGAACACCACCCATGGTTTTTATATAAGTACATTATTTTCCAATGTTAATTTGTCTTTTACAGTTCTTCTTTGGGGAATTACCATATTTGATCCATTCTGAGAGGGGCAGTGCCTAGCATTTGGGTTGCTGAGATAGGAATGTTTTGCAATCAATAGTGTGTTATAATTTAACTAGAGGCCCGGTGCACAAAAATTTGTGCACTCGGGGGGAAAGGGGGGCTCCCTCAGCCTGGCCTGTGCCCTCTTGCAGTCTGGGACCCCTCGGGAGATAACACCCTGCTGGCTTAGGCCTGCTCCCGGGTGGCAGAGGGCAGGCCC